TGTGGCTGCCCCATCCCTGGCAGTGTTGAAGGGCAGGTTGGATGGGGCTTGGAGCAGCCTGGGCTGCTGGGAGGTGTCCCTGCCCATGGCAGGAGTGGGACTGGATGATCTTGAAGGTCCCTTCCAACTCAAACCAGTCCATGATTCTATGATCCCACCCTTGCCAAGCCTCTCCCAGCCTCTGCTACCACCAGCACAGCCCCAAACCAGAAGAGCAGCCCATGGTGGGCATCCTCCTTCTCCAGGCTGGGATCCCCCCTAGCCCCAAACCTGCTGGACAAGTTCTTGAAGCACCTCAATAATTCAGGCAACAGGGATGTGCCATCCTCCTGGAAAGGAGGGACAGGCCAGCTGAGGTTCCTCCCAAAGTCCCATTCACCTCCTTGCCCATCAAGCTCTGCAGAAAGACCCCCTCCCCAAGCACTTACTCCACAATGTCGTTGATGGGGATGTTCAGGAGCCTCCCATCCAGTGTCCTCACATCCACTGTGCAGCCAGTCAGGGCCTGCAAGGCACAGAGGGGGACCAGGAGCTGTGTTCCCAACCCTGGAGGACAACCAGAAGCCAGGGATGGCTCCATCCCTTCAATCAGCTCCTTACCTTTCCCAGGGGAATGGAGGCAACATAGATGAGGTCATCATTGAGTCTTCTAAACCTCGGGTGGGGTTTCTCTTGGACAACAAAGGTGATGTCAGCTGGAATGATGTTTGGGCCCTAAAAGAGAAGGGGAAAAAATGAAGATACTTGGAAATGTGACCCTTAAAATGATTCATTTTTCTCTATCTGAAGGCAAATCCAGGCAAGAATGGCTCCTGCAACACCACAAGGTACCATCAGGGGTGCCACCCACTGCTCACAGCCCACAGAAATGAGAAACCTGGGAGGAGTGTGTGGTCATTCCCGAGGAAACCCGGCCCAGAACTTCACCCCATGGTCATTACCTGGTCTCCTTCCTTCTCAAAGGTGATCCTGGTGCCCTGTTTCCAGCCCGGCCGCACGTCGATCGTCAGGATCTTATCCCGGATGGTGCTCGTGAGCCCGTCCTCGTTCATCACCTGGGAGGTGGGTGAGGGGGTGAGAAGAGCTGGGTTTGGTCTGGAGAGTTGGGTCTGCAGCCAGCTGGGAGCCTGGATCTGCTCTGTCATCAGAGCAGCCAACACCAGGTGCTGGTTCCATCCCTGGTGGTGCTGAGCACCCGGGCTGGATCAGGATCCTGCAGATGGGACAGTCAGCTCTGGTGGACACTCAGTGTGTTACAGAATCATGGAAGGGACCTTTAAAGCTCCAATCCCCTGCATAAGCAGGGACATCCTCAACTAGATCAGGTTGCTCAGAGCCCCATCCAACCTGACCTGCAATGTTTCCAGGGATGGGGCATCTCCCACCCCTCTGGGCAACCTGGGCCAGGCTCTCCCCACCCTCACAGCACAGAATTTCTTCCTAATATCTAACCTAAATCTCCCCTCCTCCAGTTTTAATCCATTACCCTTTGTCCTCTCACTATAAGTCCTTGTAAATAGTCCCTCCCCAGCTTTCCTGGAGCCCCTTCAGGCCCTGGAAGCTGCTCTCAGGTCTCCCTGGAGCCTTCTCTTCTCCAGGCTGAACACCCCAACTCTCCCAGCCTGGCTCCAGAGCTGCTCCAGCCCTCCCAGCATCTCCGGGGCCTCCTCTGGCCTCTCTCCAACAGCTCCGTGTCCTTCCTGTGCTGGGGACCCCAGAGCTGTTCCCAGCCCTGCAGGGGGGTCTCAGCAGAGCAGAGCAGAGGGGACAATCCCCTCCCAGGCCCTGCTGGTCACGCTGCTGGTGACACAGCCCAGGACACGGGTGGGTTCTGGGCTCCAGCTCACGTTGAGCTTCTCATCCACCATCACCCCCAGGTCCTTCTCCTCAGGGCTGTCATCCCCTCAGGGGACAACCCAGAGGTGACCTGTGACACCATGTGCCTCTAACTGCTCTTCTCATCCAGCTGCACACGAGCTGGCAGAGAGGAGAGCAAGGACCACCCACATTCCAGGGAACAGAGAGGAACAGATTTAGAGGAGAAACTCAGGGCTGGCAGCAGGAGGTTGGGACAGTGGGAGGGGGGATGCAGTTCACTGAGAGCAGGAAGGAGACACTGCCCAGTGTGGGGCAGTCCTCAAACTGTGGGAGCCCAGGAAATGTTTTGCTGCACCTCTCTGAGATCAGCCCTTCCTTCCCACCAGCTTCTGCATCATCTCTCATGCAAAGCCCCCTGAGCACGGCAGGGGATGAGGGAACCAGCCTGAATTGTGCAGCATTTGTGCCTGGTTTGGGTCAGATCCCCCTGCTCACAGAGTGCTGAGGTCTGCTGAGCCCCCTGAGAGCCACAGAGGGGTCAGGGTTGGAAGGGACCTCTGGAGATCATCCAGTCCAATCCCTGCTAGAGCAGGGTCCCCTAGAGCAAATCCCACAGGAACACATCCAGGTGGGGTTGGGATGTCCCCAGGGATGGAGACTCCACAGCCTCCCTGGGCAGCCTGTCCCAGGGCTCTGTCACCCTCACAGGCAAGAACTATTTCCTCACATTCAGGTCAAACCTCCTGTGCTCCAGTTTGTGCCCATTGCCTCCTGTCCTGTCCCTGGGCACCCCTGAGCAGAGTCTGGCCCCACCTCCGGCCCCCCTGGAGATATTTACAAGCCCTGATCAGCCCCCCCCTCAGCCTCTTTTTCTCCCAGCTGAGCAGCCCCAGCTCTCCCAGCCTTTCCTCACAGGCTCCAGCCCCCTCAGCACCTTTCCCACCCTGCCCTGGCCTCTTTCCCAGCCCTCAGGTCCTTACCCAGAGAGGAAATTCCAGCCCCAAACCCCTCACCCTGCCCTTACCCTGCGGGAGATCTTCATCTTCTTGGTGCAGCCATAGAACAGGTCTTCCAGGGAGAGGTGCAGATCCCTCAGGATTGGGGGGTCTTGCTTCAGGGCCCCCCGTCCTCGCAGCCCCCCAAAGGGCATGACCAGCTCTGTGCCATCCTCAGCAAAGAACTCTGTGTGAGGGAGCAGAGAGGGGGGGTCTCAGATCAGAGCTTGGGGAGGTCTCCCCTGGGGTCTCCTTATCGTGGAAGCTGCACACCCCAAATATGCCACCCCCAAACTTCCCACCTGCAGTGGCCTGGGACCCTTGTCCCACGGCTGAAGGCTTCTTCTCTGGGAGAATTTTCATCTTGCCCCATGTGTTTATGGCAGGCTTGCTAACTCACCCCTCTCAGTAAAGGATCCCAGCCTCCCCCCAGCTCAGGCCCCTCACCCACCCAGAACTTGGGGAAGTCAGGATCTCACCCCCAAGCAGCCCCAGCAGGGACCAGAAAAAAGCTGGGCAGGGAAGCAACCCCCTCAAGCTCCAAGCTCAGAGCTGGTGGTGGCCACAGCACCACAGCAACCACAGACAGGCTCTGGGCCACCCCCCTATTGCCCCCCCACCCACCTGCAAAGGGGTTGTCTCCACCAAAGAAGTCCCTGAAGACTTTGTCAGGGTCGTTGTGGAACACGTAGCCAGAACTCCAGGGATTCTCACCACCAAACTCCAAGGGGATGCCACCTTTGAGCCCCTCTTCTCCAAACTTGTCATAGATGCCTTTCTTCATGGCTTAGGGAAGGAGGAGGAGTTGGGAATGGCCACGGAATCCCATGCTGGGTGCTGAGGGAGAGCCCCCAGCCTGAGATCCATTTTTTTCTTGGGTGAAGGCTGGAGAGGGGGTGGTTCCTCATCACCTTCAGGACAGCAAATGGGGATGGAAGCAGGGCCAGGTGCCAGCAGTTGGGCCTGGCTGTGGCTCACAGAGCTGACACCACCTCTCTGGGTGTGCCTCTCACTGGGGGTTCAGACCCCAGCACATGTCTGGCCACACCAGAAAGGACATGGAGCTGTTGGAGCAAGTGCAGAGAAGGGCCATGGAAATGACCCAAGGGCTGGAGCAGCTCTGCTCTGGAGCCAGGCTGGGAGAGTTGGGGTGTTCAGCCTGGAGAAGAGAAGGCTCCAGGGAGAGCTGAGAGCAGCTTCCAGTGCCTGAAGGGCTCCAGGAAAGCTGGGGAGGGGCTTGGGACAAGGGCAGGGAGGGATGGGAGCAGGGGGAAGGGTTTCCAGCTGGCAGAGGGAGCTGGAGCTGAGATGGGAGGGAGAAATTCTGGGCTGTGAGGGTGGGGAGAGCCTGGCCCAGGTTGCCCAGGGAAGCTGTGGCTGCCCCATCCCTGGGGGTGTTGAAGGGCAGGTTGGATGGGGCTTGGAGCAGCCTGGGCTGCTGGGAGGTGTCCCTGCCCATGGCACGGGGGTTGGAACTAGATGATCTTCCATGTTCCAACCCAAACCATTCCACGATTCCACGCCTCTATGATGCCCCCTCCAGCCCCCAGGCCAGGGCCGGGCCCCACTCACGGTCGCTGAGCACATCGTAGGCCTCCGCCA